AATTTGAAAACACCAATTACAGTTAACAAGCCACTATCAACCAATTTTAAATATAAATGATATATTCGTCGTCATTTAAATGCTCAAAACTAGCTGAGGAGGACACTGATGCGAACGTCGGAAAAAGGGAAGTAAGATTACCAGGGTAAAACAAATGCATAGATCATCACCAGCTCTAGCAACCATTCGTCATTATAAAGCACCTCGCCGCCATCATTCGAGAATATGACTTACGCTTCTGCGGGATTCCTGACCGTCTCTCAAATGTCAACGGACATGCAAGTCTGTTCAGCTGCCCTGTTTCCGCCTTCCTTACAAAAAGTTGTTGATCACGTCACTAAACCAGAAATTGAAACTTCTGCAAATTTTATAAGCAAGCGCATAGCAATCTCAATCAGGAATATATTGAACGTGACATACTTTTCTCACACAAATGCTAATCTACTACATATAAGCGTCTTGTTGCACATACTCTATCAGTCTTGCCATAAAATTTCAGTGTTTATCACACCGGCCAACAGCTCATATCGGTGTATCATCTCTGCCCCACTACACCAGCCGTGTCCGAAAAATCATATTTGAATTTGGTCAGCGGCTGATCGATGAACAGAATTTCAAGATAACAGGGTCAGCAACCGTATCTACAATTAACATGAATGTAATCTTTGGGTATTTTGTTATTTTGAGTCAACACCCTTGTGCATCGGATGTGAATAATTGTTCCAATCAATCAATAGACCAATCAGAGTACAGTAAATCGGCAGTAACAAGTTGTCCAAACGCTATGTGATCTATATTGACGTTCCACTGTTATAGTCAATGCGATAATCATGCAAAATCTTTAACGATGTCTCGTTACTCGCAATGGAAATTAAATCAGCGACCAGAAATCTAACTAGCTCTCAACCGTTGGCGCTTGTTCTAGAACACCTTGCAAATCTATTCGTCGAGAAGATTGCACTTTAATTTACAAATCGCCTGAAAAGTACATAGACTGTGACGTGGTGTCGCAACATCTCAACACCCACCCCTCCAACTTGCACATCGTCGTGTTCACTCTACTGACATGGCAGCAGCCGGCGTTACCTGTTGATCTTCCGTGAATACGTGCGTTAGCTTGATGCGTTCAGCTTTGATGTGGCTCGCACATAGCGAGCTCGTAGGACAATGTGCTTTGCGCGAGGTGTGTAACCTTGGTTGGAAACCATGCTTTCGCCGATTTGTTGCCTAGTCAAATCGTGGTGAAGCCTTCAGCCTTGAACCCCATAGGTAGCGTAGCCAAATGACCTCCTGTGTGGCCAAAACAAGCGCAAAATACTCTGCTTCGGCAGAAGTCGGAACGACCGTTGTCTTCCGCTTGCTCTTGAACACTGTCGCTCGGCAGCAACAATACTCCAGTCTATTAGCGCCTTGTGTGCTTGTCACTGTTCCAGTTTGCGTCTGCATAAGCCTTGATGCTTAGTCTACCACATGTCTCAGCGCAGAATCGCACCCCATGTGTAGATGTGCCTTTGAGTTACTACTACCCGCCAGTGCAATTCACATGGAGAATTCAAGTGCTGCGAGAGTGTAGACAAAATTGCGCTAATTTTGGGCCTGGTAGAATTGGCGACGTTCAAAAGAGACCCAATTAGGCCTCGATAGTACCGAGCATCGTTGTGCACCTAATGCGATTCGTCTGGCGTCAAGGCTTGACCGAGCACCATTGGATTTCGCACAGCATTTGCTTCAGTTTGATTAAATCGCTCGAGCATTATCGCGTTAAACTGGGTCTGCTACCACCCAAGTTCCCCCTTCTGCGGTGCATACTCAATCTCCATCCTGAAGACATATTTAGCATCGACAAGAGATTTCAAAGGGATTTGGCACTAAGTTCAGCACAAATCACGTCTGCCTCAGTATCCGTGGTGCAACCGACAAGCAGGTCATTAAAATAGAGAACGATGTATACCGGATGCTTGTCATCGTTGCCAGACGGACAAACAACCATGGGTTTGCGCGGCATTGTACGAATCCCATGTCAACAAATGCAGCTCAAAAAGTCTTGTACCAGACTGCAGTGGCTTGCTTCAGGCCATAAAGACTTCGCCACGGCTTGCATACAAACCCATCGTCGACCCGAACACCATGTGGCACGGCCATGTACACCTCTTCATCGAGCGTCCCATAAAAAAAGGCGGTTTCAATGACGAATTTTCAGATCTTCAGATCTTCAGATGCTAGCCGCTGCACACCGCGAAGTACACGTGGAACTTGCCATCGGCGAGTGCGTGTAGTAGTAGCATATGACACGAGTTTGCAAACAGCCAAACGCCACTAAGTAGGCTTTGTATCGGACAATGTTGCCATTCTCATCAGATTTGTGTGCAACAACCCACTTGGACCCGATAACTCGTGCACCATACGGGAGCCTTAGCAAATCCCATGTGTCATTACGAATGTGTGCGCTGAGTATTTTGCGAATAGCTTCTTTCTACCATTTGGCTCTGGGTGATGCCACCGCTTCTCCATAGCTCGTGGGAACTTCTGTGGCTGCCAACGCGATCTCGTACTCATCAAGCCGAGGGCGTTTGGAGTTCGTTTATCCAATCACACCGTTGTCTTAAGAATTTATAGAAGGCTCATTTGCAAGCCGAGAGATGCATCAGCTTTGTCTCTGTTGGTCATAATCCGAGTCTGTTCAGCACGAGGTCTACGCCCAGGTCTTGACCCACCGCCAAGCGACATGATATTATCGCCAAACGTTATTTGCCTGGTGTGGACTAGAGTTTCAATAACACAAGTTGAAACAGGTAACAGCGGTACTTGTCGGATGTGATAGCTTTAAAATTGTTGGGGCGACTAGATCAAAGTTTTCGTTCCGGATATTTCCCAAAACATTTTTGTTTGAACGTTTAGTGCCAGCAACAGCGTGAGAAACACCCAAGGAGTCCCCTCATCAAGCGGAACTTTGGTAGCTGGGACAACAGAAGTATATATCTCGATACTTATAAATTCATCTCCCATTTGATCGACCTACTTGTCTGTGGCAGTGGGTGTACTTGCACATGTCAGCGCACTCAACTCGTCGTCGTCGTCTTGAAGCGCCTACGTTATTTGGCTATCTCCAGCAATATCAACGACAACAACATCGTGATAGCGCAGCGTCACCGGGCGCGTTAGGAGCGCATTATTACCAGTCTTTTGTTGTCAAGGTCCCAGACTCGGTATGCCTTTAAGCGCCAGCATATCTTAAGACGATGCAGTGATCCCGTCTCACCTTTCCTCTTCCTCTGTTGAGATGCACGTATCCGGTAGATCCAAATACCCGAAGGTGCTAGAGTGAGTGCTGTGTGCCGGTCAAAATTTCAATTAGAGTCTTGTCGCGACGCGCAGTGTTTGGGATACGATTTACTACATAAGCAGTTGTCATCACGGCCTCACCCACCAGTGATGCTCCACGTCCATGTGATACATTATCGCTCGGGCCATTTCAGTAAACATGCGGTTCATTCTCTCCGCCAATCCATTTTGCTGAGAAGCGCTTGTTTGAGGGACGATGCTGTTGGTGGCACGAAACCGATTAAAATTCGCACTGGTGTACTCTCACCGTTATCGTTACGAACACACTTTCTCCTGCAGCCAGTTTGGTTCTGTGCGGGGCCTTAAGCTCGCGAAAGGGATTTAAAAGTTGTGCTTTTGAAGAAAGCAAATACTCGTAGACGCATCTACTGTAGTTGCTGATGAACGTGACCTCATACAGGCACCACCTTTCGACTTGGGCTAGAAATACACGTATAATATTCATACTCGCTACAGGTGAGTAAGTGTGAGTGTAATCGACACCTTGAGTCTGTAGGTATCCAAGTGCAACAAGCCTTGCCTTCTAAAGCTCAACATTGCCTTTCCGTCGTATTTGAGAGCAAAAACCCATTCGTATCCGTTAATTTTGGCTTCTCGCGGTCGCATCAGTACATTCCTTGTATATTTTTGCTCGGCGAATAGCTTTCTTGCAGCTTTTCGCTTCAATTGAGGTCAGCACCACCATATAGCTGCGAGGAAATTCCATGGTGGATAGTGCGATTTCGAGCTGTCCAAATGCGGTCGCTTTGTATCCGGTTTGCTATCATCACCACCCTCGTCAGAAGCACGGCCGACAATACCACTTCTGTCGTTTTCATTCGCATCTGTGCCATTGGTAAGTAGTGAAACCTCACCTGCAATGCTCACATTGTCCGAATTCGGCAACAATCGTGGTAGGATGTATGAGAGCCGTGCTAAACGACGAGAATCACCATTAAATACGAGACGGTTTCAACACAAAATTGCTGATTTACCACAATTGCTCCTGGTAGGTTTAGTACACGTTGATTTTTTTGTAATTCATATTAGACGAAGAAGTCACGCGCACAATTGTAGCTGTCTTCAGTGCGTTTGGAAGAGCAGGTAGGCGTTCCGAGTCGGATATAGCATCTCTGGGTAGGACGACACTTTGAGAATGTTTGTAGTGTCTTGACCCAATTTTCATGAACCGAGATAGCTGTTCGCGTCGAAAAGGGTGTCCGTCTGGTCACGGTGGATCCACCACCAAACCTTCTGCCTCGTCATCGACAGTAATGTTTTCTATCTCGACATCCTCTTCGCCCTCTTGAAGTGAAACACTCGGTGGTGCGTACCGTTCATCAACCTCTTTTTCAGGCGAATTACTTGATGCTTCTTGAATTCTGCAAAAATCAACTGTCACGTCCGCAAATGGCACTCGCTCGTCCGAATGAATGGTACGAGTCGTAACAAGACGCTTAGCCTCGCCACCCCCAAACTCTTTAAGCTTTGATCCTTCAGCGCACCCAAGAAGCAAACGTAGATGAGCCTTTGCATTCAGTTTGGACCTCTTGGATTTGTCGATATGTACGAATCCGCGCGACCCAAAAATCCGAGGGCACTCCAGAGTAGGCATTACTCCTGTCAACGCGTCAGATGGACTCACGCGAGGCCAAACGGAATTCGAGATCCTGTTGCCGATATGCACAGCTGCTATCATCTCTTCTCCTCATCACTGACGTTTAACATGCATCGGGTGAAACATCGAGCGCGTCATCTCCGTTAGCGTCGAGTTCACCGGTTCGGCGAGCCCGTTTGCTGGGGCAAATCCTGTGCACTGTACTGATGTAAAATATCTGATCATGCACAAACCGAATCGAATCGTTGACTCCAGTATTCTCCACCATTTTCGATCCGAACGCACTTCACTCTTCTCCCGTACTGGTGCTTCACTAACTCGCAGTACTCCATGAATCGGTCCGGTACCAATGCTGAAATGGAGTTACACGTACCCAAAGTGTAACGAGGCTACACGTACCAGGTCTGGTCACACAAGATGGTGACCGTACAAACGTGTGGGTACACAAGTTGGTGTGATAATCACAGTGGTATTGCTACGCTGCACGAAGAGGCCACTACGTGGCAGGATTGCCAGTAGTTATGCATAGTCTTAGGGTTTTACTATTTTATGTGGAAGACCTAAGGTTTTTGTTTTAGGCGACTCTCCCACAAATAAAAAAGCTAAAAACAGTCTCAATTTTGAACGGAAGAGCGTCTTTACCTTGAATAAGGTTCTCAATTACTATTGGAGGTGGCGGATTGCGATCCGCTACTCTCGTACTGATTGTTGTGAAAAATATAAGGTCGGTGACCTCAACTTATAAGTTATCTAAGCAAAGAATTACGGCAGCCCGCTGCAAATGCCTTGCTTGGAATCAAATACACATGGACGAAGCGCGTGAAGTCATCGATGAAAGCGGGGTTCCCCCTTCCGACTTCGCCTTGATCGGTTCTGAAAATCACTATGAACAATCTCGTATGCACGTGAGGTTTTGGATTCACCTCCCGACTGCCTGGCAAATGCTTTAGTCAACATTTTTCATCGTACACGTCTTTCACAGACACTGATACCTTCACAGACATTATAATCGCACCCATCTTGGAGGAGGTACATGTCCAAGACGAGAGTGCCAAAGATATGTGCTACCATCATCACTGACGTCTTACGCCTGCTTTTCTTCTTCGCCGAGCTCTTGTGTAAGTGAACAGGGAAATAACTTGTCGACACGAGGAATTTTAGCCACAATATTACCATTGAACCTGAGTGAAGCATGGTCAGTTTGGAACTGCACCACAATGTTGTTCACCCTGAGAGCTGAAATAGACACCAATTTGAGTTTAATCTGCAACACACGCAGTACATCCGTCAGTATAACACTGGTACCTCCGACCAAACGGAACCTTACGACAACAGCGTCTACAGCTATCAGCCGTTGGCCATTGGGTACAGTCATTTCGATTTGTTATGCCAGAGTACGATACTATAAGAAATCCTGGCGATCTCCAGTCAAATGAGAACTGCGCTAATAACAAAAAGCCATACAGTTTTCCCATAAGCGGTCCCACTTATTGCTGAGAATAAACCTCGTCGTGACTTCCTCTCTTCCGTTGAGAGCAAGACAACTACTTGTGACCAAACTGTTTGCACAAGAAACGATTCCCCTGGAGCCCGCTTGTTTCTTTATTGTCTCTTTGGCGATTCTTCCCACTCGCATTCCCAAGGTGTCCACCATTACCACGACGGTCAATACAACCTCGTCTATTGCCACGGCCACCGCCTCCGCGCGTCGTCACCCGAAAGGCCACCTTCTTGCCTTCACGCTAATTCATTACCTCGTACTCATGTCGAAGCATTTCCTTCGCATCCAGTAGTGTGATGCCGTCGCGCGTTCAATGATTCTATTCATGTCGTCGTATTCCGATAGCGAGCTGCCAAGCAGAATAATAGCCTTCTCGTCTTCAAACAGCCCTTCTCCCACCGCCGCTAATCGAGAACATATGATGGATTTGCTCCATCAAATCACCTCCGTATCCAAGCGTCTCGCGGTAGGGACATGTATCCAAGCGTCCCGCGACAGGGACACTCAAAAGATTTTTAAAATCTGGCATTGCGAAACACTGATTGATCCTAGACAACGATTTCATATGATTTCAGAAAATATTTTGGGACAATAGAGATGCATGATTCCGCCTTTGTCAAAAATCAGAAGTACTTTTGCCTTAGCACGAAAATACTTCGACACACTTGTCAACAATTATTTTCCTGAGATCAGCAGTAATGCTGCGAGGAGCCTTGAGCAAAGTTGGAAACTAAGGGCACCGGTGGCCACAATTTTCAGGTATATATCCTCATGAGAATAAATGAAATTGCTTTTTGTCGCGACTTTCTTGAGGCAAAAAGGGTCCGCGACGATTTGTCGCGGTCACCAGGAAATTTTTTCAGAAAGGTAAGGACAACTTTGAGCTGTATTTTCAGCTGTTATCAATGTTTTAGAGAATAGGAGGTGCTGCATGTCGCAGTTGTTAAATTATATCTGTCTTGAAAATGATCTGGAAGGTTTAATAACCAGTTTACACACGGCAGCACCTATAAACTCGAGAAGTTATGTATGCAACGATGTGCAAGACGATAAGTTTGCCTAGGGTGGATACAATTTCAATAAATGTCCTTTTGATAAAATACCGTCTCGATGTCAAATAGCCTAGCCTTCAGTCTCGCATAGCAACATACATACAGAAACACTCAAATCGCATTAGTGCTTTCAACTGGGAAATTTGCGCGTTTGGAGATATCATTCGATCTATGTTCTTGTGTTCTCATTATCAAATTCACGTATGAGATATAACTTCTGAGCAAATCTCACGCTAGAAAGCTTCTATCTACTAATTTTCTTCCAAAGAAACCATTGCTTTAGCATTTTTGCGGTTCCTCGATGACAGGTTGTCCGATTTCGTATCCGTTGAAACGAAGACTTTTGCATCATTTGCAGACGTTTTCTTGTGCGTTTCTTTGGCCTGCAACCGCATATTAGTCATGATACGGTCTTCAATACTGTTTTCCAGTAAGTGCGTACGATCAAATTGTGAAAAGCGACCTTGGCGCGATAAACCAAAGAGAACAACGCGATTATTATCATGAACTCCATCTTTCCCACGAGAACGAGAGAGTTTACGATCACTAAGACGAGAATACGAAGCAATACCATTTTGAGTTGAGGTCTTCACAGTGATGGTCGGTTTGACTGAAGTGTAGCATGTAATGAGACAGTGACAGCACCGCTTGGATCGTTATCCTGTCGGTTGAGCCTCTGTACTGTGATAGAACTCAGCGTACTTCTACCTGAAAAAGCTCACTTCTCCCTTTCAATCATGAGGGATGGGTGCTTGTGAATAAAACAAGAGCTGCAAGCTCACCTTGTTCGTCAACTTCAATGTCAATCGCATTGTCGCATTCTTTAACACTCTCATTAATGTGCGGTCGACGGGATATATCATCAATTCCGTTCTTAGAATCATACGCGAGTTGTCCACCACAAGAATGGCACCAATTTTCGCAAACGAACATTGAGCACGCTCGTTCAGCTACAGAATATACGCCGTCACCAAGCGCTTCTCTTTGCTGTTTTAGACACGATATGCCTTTATCTCTTCTACATGTCCGGAGAAATTCTATCGGTATACTTTTGCATTGAGTTTCGTTTGCCTCACCGTCTCAACCAACACATAACCATAAAGTCCAGAGCCGGTTTCATATCAGAACCTCAATTAGATTCTTGGTCGGACGGCAGCGATACGGATTCGGTTCAAAATATGTATCGCTGTCGTAAAACTTCTACCCCCCACACTTGCATAAGAGCGCGCCAATACAATTCATGTTCCCCGCTAATCGATGTGCTGCAAACTATATAGCACTGATAGTTGGATGATTTCTTTATGTTTGCAAAACCCATTGAGCATATTCATATTGTCACTGCAAACACTTTATACATTGACCGTACTGCGTCTTCATCAAGGCTGTGTACCCAATAAGCCGCTCGAATACGAGGTCTTTGGTGTACCTAAGAAACTCATCGATAAGCGTGATAATGTACCGCTCCACCCTTTAACTTCGGTTTCAATGGACTCATAGCATCGTTAGGCACAATCTCAAAAGGGCACTTAAATTCACCCCGACGCTGGGCTTGTGTGGAAACAAACTCGTCGACATCTTGTCCATTGCGCAGCCACCGCATCATTGCCAGGGAAATTTTTGCTGATATCCACATCTCTATAATCAGCACCAATAAAATTTTGCTTCTAACAAGCAGACACACAATGCTTCTGCGAATTGTTCAAAGCACATTTTTCTAGTACCGATCTCAATTCTCACGAAGCCATCGCACCTATTCGTAGGTTTCCTACAATGTTGCATTCATCAAATATCATCGTCGTGCACTCTGTTTGAAAATGTTTACTAATTCCTTTGACTGCCCAGGCTAGCCAGAAGCAGTTTTGCGACCAAATTTTCAGCTCAAAACGCTTGTGCTTTCACATTTCGCTCCTATATGTCTTCATCCCTGCGGCGCAACATCTCCTTCGCGGCGAGAAATGATACAATTTCCTCCATATTACATATCATAAAATCATATTCCTATGGCAGCTGAAATGTAACACCACCATACTCTGTCGGCAGCGAGCACAAATTCTCGAATCGAACGATGCGCGCCGTTTGATGTTTGCTGTAGCTTAAAGTAGAGATTCGTGTTTGCTTCACAAACATTAAGCGAGACACCTCCCTGGCCTCCAGTGACGAGAAAATTCCTATCAGCTGAGAGCAGAAAATTGATACCAGGTACTGACTCGTGGACGAGTTTATGTATTGCTGCAGTATGCATACAAAGAAATCCTTCATCTCGCACATCAATTGCACTCCTGGCTCACACACAGGGACAACCGACCGATGATCTACCGAAAAAGTTATTGGTTTAGTATTGAAAAAGCGCACACATAAAAATTTAGACGTTTAAAGTCGTTGGTAAATAACTCAAATACATCGTCATGAGAATCGCTTCTCTTCGTAAACAGGGCACAATTGATGTCGAGACAAACTCAAATATAAAAGCAATCAATTTTCTGACAGTACTTTTATTATTCCTGCAGTCAGACTATTTCGGTACACTGTCGGTGTCCCTGAAAGCAAATTACGTTGCTATCGGCGACACCTCGCAGAAGTTTGAACATAACTCCTACATTTACTGCCCTATCCTTAAACGACACAACATTTAGATCATTCGTATTGTTATCACTCGTGAGATACCAATCAATTTATCTTTCTAGCTAGATGGGCTGGAACATTGTAACGGATATTGAAAGTTTAAATGTATATTGATAAAGTATGTAGATGGACCATAAATCGAATGATCCGATTCGTTCATGAATTCATCGCTTTCAACGAAAGAGTCCTTATCACGGTGTTACTGTGTGCATAAAGCTATGACCCTCCGGAGTGGAGCTCACCTTACCACCCAACAACACGTCGGTCGCTTCAAATACAGCTTCCTTCGCTCGCTCAACAATGCTGGGTGTCAAAGCTTCTTCAGCAGCGTTGATCTGGCTCGTTAAAACATCGAGATTAAAGTTGTCGCGCAACGTTGACTTTACCACTTCTTCAACGGTATCCGGGCTACGGTTGGACCAGTTATCGGAAGTCACATCCATGTCGATCTGACCGTTTTTAGAAGTAGGCTCGCGTGAACTGCCCACGACATCTTGAATAACACCTTTGACGCCCGTCGCCCGACCATTCGTTTCATCATAATTTCGACCTTTAGTCACCAAAACTTCCATTGCGTTCGCAGTTACGTCGATCATCTTGCGGGCCGAGACCAATTCCGACTGGGAATACTCTTGGCTTTTAGTGATTTGATGCGCCACATGTTTTAGATCCGCTGAAATGTCCTTGGCGTACCTGATGTCGTTTCGCATATACGATTTGGCTGTGCTCAGGATATAGTTGCCATGTCGTCTGTCGTAATCAGCCAAATTCTTCTTCAAAAGTTTCAGGCACTGGGCCGCATCGTCAGCAACGTGAATGAGAACCAATGCCAGAGAAGCAAATTCCTTTTCAACCGGAATGTTTTGGGCGGTGGTCTTGCTCATGTTCGCAGTTATAGTGATTTGAAAGGTACTGTTGCACGTGAAGCACGTTTGAAAATGAGGCTTACATCTTTTATCTTTTCGCAGCGGCCGCGATGAGATATGTTGACGAGTTATTGGCTGCATGTGCCGGTGGGAATATCTCTAGTTCGAGCTATCTCTCAGTTTTTCAATATGCTAAAGATGCTCTAAAATGTTTGCGAATTGAAACGCTTAAATTATAGCAAAGCTTGAGATAGTTTGATTGATCTCACGCGCGAGTGCGCGTGTTATAACTTTCAGCCATCATTTTGACAGGAAAGAATCTCCCTGGTCTTCAAGAAATCTTATGTGGAGACAGAATTTTCTAAATTGAGGTGGATCCCAATCCATGAAAAAGTTTAAAAAATGACTCTGAACGTCGATTCTTTTGATTAGGTACCCGTTGGCTTGCCGTTTGGCTTGACATTTTTGATCACACTGGTCATTTATTCAAAACTATGCTCAAAAATGTTCTGTGCGGCCCAAAGCGTTTATTTGCCAGTAAAACTATTTCACTCACACAGGGACTCATTGAGATTCTGGCGTGTTTAGTTCTAAGAAAACCAGCTTCTATGTTTTCTCTATTACAAATATTAGCGACGATGAAACCAATGAAAGCGATGCTATAGACATTATTGATCTCATATTGTAACAGAAATATAAATGTGAAAACTTTTCTGATCTGTCTATTTTCGAGCTTTCATTTCGAGAAACGGCATTTGCTATCCAAGTCTCTAAAAGCTCGCCTATATCGCATCCAAAGCTTTCCCTTAAATTGGATAATAACGCCTAGAAGACAAGTTAGAGGGGTATACATTCTGGCGCCATGAATCGTCTCGAAACTAGTCACTCAAAAATCCTACTTTGTCTATTTTTGCGGCATGAATTTTTCCATTATTTAAGCTATTTACTGCGATAGCTTTCCCGCAGCAATACTACAGCGCTTTCTTGCTGTGCTTGTACACTCACTATAAAATCTTTGACAGTAAGGCAAAAAAAAACACCCGACCAAGATGTCCGAGTTTCATATCTTTGTATCCTACTTCTACTCTTTAGTAAGTTATCAATGACATTTTCACACAGGAGTCGACGGGAAGATGACATGAGCTTCCAAAATTTGACTAACCTTCCCACCCATCGGTACGTCTGTCGCTGCCAGGTGTAAGCTTTTTCAAAGGCGTTGATCTGGTTCGTTAAAACATTGAAATTGAAGATGTCGCGCAACGTTGATTTGACCACTTCTTCAACGGTATCCGGGCTGCGGCTGGACAAATTATCGGGAGTTACATCTTGTGAACAGCCCACAATATCTTGAGTTACATCTGTAACGTCCATCTACCCGAGCATTCGTTTCGTCATAACTTTGACCTTTGGTCACCACTTCGTTGAAAATGCTGACTTTTTGTAGTAGGTTTATGTGGTGTTGAGAACAAGTTTTCTTTAGCAACTCACGATATCTTCACTCCAATGCATCGACATAATGTAATGCTGATATGGAAGAGCAGAAAGCATTAACAAATAATGCTGGGGTTCCAATAATGTCTTTGGAGCAGTCGCATGGACTATATTCTTCAGCCATCACTACGTATTAGTCGGCAACTGATTTGTGCTACCAGATCTGTTGTTGCTCACAATATTCTTTGTTCCAGTATCAGCTCAAGTTTGATCTGACAAGTGATGGAGAGAGTTTAACGCTCTCCTTCTCTGAGCGCTCATATTTAACCGTGTGATGGTAAAAGATGCAGTTTTTTATACAAAACGAATAACTTAAAGGAAATTAACGCTCGCGCACGAATTTACTACTTCCACAGATCAACTAAAACTGTCGTGGGTTTTGCTTGCAGGATAGTTAGCTATCGGGTAACAACAAAATCAAAACGACGAGAATTTATTAGCGTATGATGCTTGTTAAGGCAAATCGAAACACCACCCTCAAAAACTTCAAACAGAGTGCACGTTCAATCTAAAGATGTTTAGCCAACTCTATTAAGCCAAATTGAACATGTCGTAATAAATGTAACTCTAATCCGTTAAGATTGGAATATTTATTTACTGATATGTTATCTCCCGATATCGAATATGCAGAACCGTGTCTACCAATTCAAATTACAATAAATTAATTTTGAAAATCACACTTGTGTAAATCCGGCTAATTTTTCAGTTGGATTACTAGTATTAAAACTAATGTATTTGTTACAGTGAATGATGACATATTTCTCCATATTGTGTGTAGTATCAACTCATCAAATCATGCACGAAGTGTAGGTGATTTAATATCAGAAAATTTTGCACTTTCAACGATCCCTCGCCGAGACTTCATAGCGTATGCATAAGAAATATAGCCGACAATCTTTTAAGAGTGGTGTGCTTGTAGACTCACAATATGAGTTGTCAAGCACAAACGTAATGAGCGAGAGTATGTCGCTCCGCGTTTGTGTTTTCGGAGGATACACAATCACTGCATGAAGTTTGTAGATGATTCGGTGGTAAATTTTAATGACAGATTGCTAGATAAGTGTTGGCTCCGAATCGAGACTACTACCACGGACAAGCCATGTTGACGACAGGCTTTTTCTAGGAGCAGCATTATTGAATCGTCACCGGTGACAGTGATGTTCACAGTCGCGAGATGAGCCAATTATATCAAGCGTCTTCGGAGAAAGCAATACCGGTATAGCCGTATACGTACCAACATCAAACAACTTTCTTTTGATTCTGGCACAGCAAGCCTCGACAGAACAATACCACAACTTCATACTTGCAAACGGTATGACCAAGCATTGTCCAAGCTTGGAATTTCCTTGCTTCATAAAGCTGTCTATAGCGCAACACAGCTCGCACGCCGAAAAGATAGTATGATCGATGCTTGGTGCCACCACCTATATGAGAATGCTAATAATACGCACCCTGCTAACCAAACGAGCAAACACCTTTATGGTATCTATGTGAACGAGCATTTTTACACTTTTACTTTGTGTTCGTTATATTCCGCGTTGCAAGTACGCGTACGTCACCGCATTAAGCTATCCTGGCTTGTACGTCACCTCAAATGTATGTTCGAAGAAAATAATGACCATATTACCGCTGAAAGTGAGATTTGTGGCGACAATGTGAATAAAGACGGATTTGCATCGATCGTAGATCGTATTGAGTGAGCAATGGAGCGCTAACTTTGATAAGAGCATACTTAATGGCAGGTAGCTTGTTGCCCTGAACTGAACACTATTTCTCCCCAGCTTTGAACATTAGCAGTAACGCAATCATGCCCATTATTGAAACAAAGCGTAATCTATGGCTAAGGCAGAAGTCTAACATACGACAAATATAGCTATTGTAGAGCCGATGTGCAAGAATATGGGTCACAGGAGATGTCTGAAATCCGTTGTTTATGCGCTTCTCAAATTTAAAATATCGTGGAAGACCGTGCACTGCTGCAAGCAGACGCTGAGGGCCCTGTCAGTATGTTATACACCAGCTTTGCAAGTAGTTGATACACTCAAGTCATTATCTAAGTCTGTTCAGAAACCTTGGCATGGTCAAGCTTTTGTCTTTAGTCGTTACGGGATCTTACCGAAAGTATTCTACAACAAAGCACTGAAATAGAAATCTCATTCTATTTGTCCACGCCGAGACAGGATATTTAGACGCATACATTCGAGTACAGCTCGTAATTACTACATAAATTTGGTTTCATGTACTTTGGACGAATCTCTCGTCATATCAGGTCTATTCGTGTGCAAGAGGAGACTAAACATTTGTATGAAAAAACAGAGAAATGCAATACATAGTCTTTGATACTTAATCAGCTTCTCTTATAGCCATCCTTTATTTATGGTGTGAAAGGCAGAGGAGAAAGTTCGAGGAGTGTGTCCAGGGAAGAGAACTGGAAAGTGCTTGATTGGTCTCTATGAATCCTAAACATGCAGTCCAATTTCTAGGTAATCCTATATCGTCGCAATAAACCTTCAAAAAATGTCTCGGACTATCTTGGTCATTACCTAAACCCTAACAACTGAGCGAAAAATCGTCAACATAAATCGGGTAGCATTTACTTGTGCGAGTGATCAAGAGTACCCATCACCTTTATCGAGTGCGATGTACAGAATACACCCGATCATGATGTTCGCCAGCAATAATTGGCGCTAAACCCTGAATCATGGGTGCGATTAGTTTATGTGTGCAATTTTTTGATTTTGACAATGGGTTTTGAGCGCCGGGTAAAAAAAGTACTGTCGCTTACTAACGATGCGTCGGGCTTGTAAAATAGCGTCCACGACATCAGAGTGGTGACTTGGTAGAAATCACTAATTCAAGACAAGCGACTTGCTCTTTATAGAAATTTTTAAAAAGTCTCCTTTGATCGCATCATGGTAGTGTCTCAACAAAGAATGCATTGCTTTTTCTGAGGACATGGCGATAATTTTCAACTGTCCACAATTACCGATAGACATATGCTAGATGAAGTGCCCATAGGTTCTCTTTCGTACCATATCGTTGATCTGACCGTCTTGCTTGCATGCATTTCTAAGTTGTAATTGACCTAGATATGTTACCTAGGGGAATATGAAGATAGTGTGTCTTGTTGTGATGGTTGTATCTCATCTCGACAACCATGAGACATCCTACTACTCGCGATACGATTTTGCACTTAAGGGTATTCCTTTAGACCCAGGCACACATGCGGGTGCCAAGACATTGCAAGGGAGTCGAGGATTTACTAGGGTTGGTGATGACTTATCGTGTCTGAGGTGCTTCCAAAGTCTCCCAATTGGTTCGGAAATTGCGTTTCGCATTCAATGCGGCATTCAGTGTCTTCGTATTAAGATTGAAAGACTAGGTACAAGTCGCAAACGTGCGGTGGCCCTTTACGTATACAGCAACTGCTTCGGATTTTAGAAAAAAGGTTTCTTGGTGCCGCGGCTTTAAAAGCTCCAAATTCTGGAGATAGAACAACTATTCTTTTTCTCTTTCCAAGTAACTACTAATTAAGACTGTCCTGATTAGGTCCGCAATATCTGTCGATTGAGTAAGTGTTAGCGGAAATGCCTCGATCCTGATAAGACCGCACGTCAGTGACGATTATCTCGCGCGACGTCCTTGCCGGCGCGGCGTTCTTGCTCACTTTGGAGTATAACTGGGTTGATGGCCGTTCAAGCCGCATTTCAAAAAAGATTTTCTGTTTTCTCGCAAAGCGTTCAACGCTTTATGCTAAGCATTATACAATTTTGAAAGAATGAGTGGTGTTAATATATTACCTGTCATCCCCATAGAGAATACGACCTAGTTTAAACTCAGCCGTTCGATTTGATTTGTGCGACGGGTTTACTGCACACCTCGCACCGAGGAAGCTTTATCAGCGTTAAGGAAGGCACACAGGAGGGGATCAAATCTTGTTCTCATAATTCCGCGACCATCGCATGTATGAAGTACTTTAACTATTCGAGACAAATGGTGACAACTCGAGAAATAAACGGCATTAGCTAATACCTTCATTTACGCATTGCGTGGGGCTAGCGGCCCACATGAACTACCGATCTCCAATATTAGAAATACTATAACACTAGAAGCATACCTCGTTTTGGAATTTCACTTCAGTGCTTTATCACCGAACCAATCAAATATTCGAACAAGTACAATTAACCTTATCACTAAGTACTAAGGATGATTGAATACACACCTCATTACACAATCAAAGCAGACTTCGAGCTGAGGCTTCCTGGTTCACTTCCATCGAAATTTAAGTGAGATTTTTTATCGCGGCCATCGGAGAAACTTTCTGTGAAACTGCGACGGTACATTATGACAAGTAGGGTATAGTCCAAAGTATTGAGACAGATGACTTACTCATATCAGTAAGACTAACTTAGCACATCAGACGACGTTCCACCGCGCAAAGAATCGAAGGCTGAGGCAAAAAACGTATACACAAGTGAGTGGAAGGAACGTAAAAAGATCTCGTGGATATTAGTCATCGGGTATTGGAGCTTGGTAAATATATCAGTATACAACGAACCCCTTCAATGTTTTATTATATGCAGGCAAGTTTTATTATATGCAGGCAAGTGTGTATGGATAGTCATGGAATTCCGTTTTCAGATGCTTTGCTGGGAAACATGGTCATTAAAAAATCTTGCATAGGCCGATCCCATGAAGTGATAGCCTGTGCACATAATCAAATTAGACTTCGATAGTGGCTTGGCCTGACAACTATTTGCAAGAGTGCAGCGCAGAATACGACGATGCAAATCAATCTTCTCAGAAGTGGATCAAATGGCGTCAAGCGTGGGAGAAGCGGCGGCCTTCAAGGACGTCAAAATTGATATTATGCTTCCCTATTCTCTTCATTTGAGTACGCACCGGTCATTTTTGATGTCATTGGCTGTGTTATGAGTTCGTGTGCAAAACGCGATATTACTTTTAAGATTCTACAGATAAAGCTGCTTATATGATCACGACATAAAGGTTCCGTGAAACATTTTCTCATCAAGTCCAAATTGAATCTGCTCGCTCGAATCGGTTTGTGATATCCCCAGATTCGTCTTTGTGCCGTCGTCACCACACCTCTTTCAGCGAATGGCAAAATGGTGGGTACCACTGAAAGTATAGTTTGAGATGAAGTAGAGGCCTTAATATGACGGCGTACACACACTCGCAACGCACATATTGTGAATATATTCGCAACAGCATCGAAATTTAAATCCGTATCGCATATGGTTTGTGTTATAATTTAAGTTATAAAGCTTTAAGAAACAAGGAGATTGCGAACTTGGGTATTGCTTTATCATAGCGTTCGTAAGTATCCATTTGCTGTATTTTTGTCTCGCGATTTGCTGTATTGAAGCACCGATCCGCTCGTCACATAACGTTTCATTGCCTTTCAAGACGATGACCTCTCAACAGAATTTTGTATAAGAAACACGATAAGAACTATGAAATGAGAGGAATCTTACGACTCCATGAGCTCTATGAACGGGCGTTATACGATGTACGAATAAATAAGCATCTATGTGTAGATATATGATGTGTTTGAATTTCATTCATGGCAAAGATCTGGCAATCCGTAAATATTTTTTTCAATTTTTGGCCATTCTAAATACACTTACAGAAAATAGGCGGAGCAAATATAGGAGTCTGCATGACGCAAAGGAATCATCTTATTGCTGTCTCAAGAACAGCCACGGGTGATGATGGGTGCGGCACAAGCTTTAAGTTGAGAATGTTTTTTTTAACAGGGCAGCTGAAAGACACCCGCTTTCATTGCCTAGCGGCGAATTTGAAATTGAGGTGGATTGGATAAGTTCCAAGTGAAAATATATGGGTGAATGAAGCGCTTCATTACGTGATAAATGGCATCATCCAGATGCAAGTGCGGAGCGACATAAACCCACTTAGTGTGTCGGTGTTGATCGACGCAGTACATACCTTCGCAGACTTCGCTTCAGACTTCATCAATTGTCCTGCAAAGTTCCGCGTAGTCCTAGCCCTTTCTAAAAAGGGTTTCGGTCTTCGTGATCGAGTGTTGATGACACTGATTACTTCTCATATTAGTCCAGAAACACATGGTAGATATTTTGATGACTTCGACTCAAGGAGATCGCGCGTCATATGCCCAGTGCGCGACGCTATGGCTGAAATATAACCGTGCAATAGCAACATGAAGATGCCGAAGACAAAAATAGCTTGAGTGTATGTTAGCTTTATTACTTAGCGTCAAAGTTTGAATCACGTCAAAGTGAGAAGCCTACTAATGAGATGCTCGATAGTAATTCACGATTGAAATTCTCTATCCATCCTAGGACATAAAAATCGGATTCAAAGGCAGTAGTATTGTGAAATATAGTAAACAAAGCCCCGACAAAGAAGCGCGGTGTAAGAATTTTCCCTTCAAATCTTGAATGTTCCGATGAATCTCGAAGCCGATCAGTTACCGCTTGCAGCGAGGAGCTATTGTTGTAAGCTTAAAATGATACCGTTTGTTCAAATTCTGATTAGATGTACGACACCTGTAAATCAATCTCCGTATTTTCTAACAATGCCCAAAAATCTTTACCCCATCATTAGCTTAAGAGAATGTAAAAAAATTGGGGAGAAGTCATCTGGGCCATTCTTAGAACACCACAACGTCGACGAGCAACTTACGCTATCCACGAGCCCAGCGACCACAACAACACAATTCTGAATCTACCTCCTCTTGCTTTACAGGGTTGTTATAATGTAATCGCTTGAATTAATGTCCAGACCCTTCGCATTATCCACAACGAGCTTCACCTCCTCATGTTTGTTTCTGTTTTTCAACAACAGTTGGCTTTACGTACAGAGATTCGAATATGCAATGAACACGCCCCTTGGTCATCTAACCGCTCATACGTCAATGTACTATCCACTTCTATCATCTGCATGATACAATAAAACTGCAGCAAATTTCGGCTCCCTGCTGCAGCAAATTTCGGCTCCCTGCTGAAGCACAGAAGTCTCGGCTCTACCCGGTCTTTATTGTGCAAATTTCGGCGCCAAATATCGCAAGTACAGCGGTAATAATAGGCCAATACCATCTAGGATGCCTAACTTGGTCGACCCGACGCATGATCAAGTAAACGTTCAGTTTGTTATGATGCTACAGCTTCAGCCTCGTCCCGGAACCATGACTTGATCAACGTGGAGTATCTTGGGGGATTTACTCTTTATTTCTCGAGTCCAGATCTCTCCTTAACTTAAGCTGCTTACAATTTGTTCCAATAGGGATAAATTCGTCCCCCAGCGTTTTTTTCAACCAGATCTATTCGTTGATACATCCACCATAGACATTAAAGCTACTGGAACCCATACGCTAAAACTAGGCTTTCTCTAGCGCGGGATGCTGGTATCCTTCCGACACATTTTGGGACCGGGTTCCGTACTTATCATTACACTATGGGACTTTTTCGGTCAGTGGGGCCTCCTCCTACCAAAGTATCACACACCCATTTGGGTGCGGGTTGGCAGGGCGTGCACACCACAGTCGTGTGAATGCTCGTCCACTTTAGTGACCAATCGCCGGTGTCATTGATTCGGATCCTATGGGTATCGAACCAGGAACCTCTCGTTTCAAAACCAAGCTACAAACCACTTGAGCCAGGGGTCAGTGATACATCCACCATAGAACAGCATTGTCACAACCCCTCCAATCCCCCGGTGATAAAATGTACTGTATCAGATGCATATCACGCACCCAAGATGGCAACACAACGTCAAATACTCTGACAGTGAAGTCATCAATGTTTTCAGCCGTGAGGCTGTAAAAAAAATATGTAACACAAAAAAAAAAAAAA